CGGCGTACCACGATGAAACACAAACACCAGTCAGCACCGCAGAAAGTAATGTTTAACACTAGCACCGGTTTACTGCTCACGATCAGAACTCACATCAGCGCTCGCCCACTCGTACGATCCCGCTTGCGCTTGGGTAAATTACTTAATAAAGGTAGTGTTGAACCACAAAGTTATATCCAGTTGCGGACCTCCAGCCAGCTCTCTGCTACTGGCAAGCACACCAGCCTTCTACCCCCCCCTCCAGAGTCCGGTTCGTCCGGGTTCTTGAAAGCTTGTTCCCTCCACCATGGCCCAAGGGCAACCGCATTCGTCCTCCGCCAGATCAACAGCCGCTAACGCGCCCTCGCTCCTCCCCCTTCGCAGCCAAGTTCCCCTCCTCGGCCGCCTTTGACGCCATCAACTCGGCCCTCAGCAGCGAGGCCGACCGCAAGGACGCCATCAAGCAGGGCAACGCCGTCTTCGCCTTCACCCTCAAGAACTCGGCCGGCGAGACGGACAGCTGGCACATTGACCTCAAGGAGACGGGCACCGTGCAAAAGGGCCTGCCTTCCAAGCCCACCGTCACGCTGTCCCTGTCCGACACCGACTTCGCCTCGCTCGTCGCCGGCAAGGCCAATGCCCAGAAGCTCTTCATGTCCGGCAAGCTCAAGATCAAGGGCGACGTCATGAAGGCCACCAAGATGGAGCCCATCCTCAAGAAGGCCCAGACCAAGTCCAAGCTGTAAATGTTTCACCATATGTTGTCAGGCCGGGGCGGCAATCAGGCGGGAGAGGAACAAGTCGAGACGGCAGGCGAAGCGAGGAGAGAGAGACACAGAGAGAGAGAGAGAGAGAGAGAGTGGGGCACGCGCGCGCGGCGTGCCGGGGGACCTGGAGTTTGCGCTTGGGATCGCCGTGCTCTCGGCGGGATACCCTTCCCATGGACACTTCCGTGGTCTTGTGTTCCCCGAAGAGGTCGTTGGGATTGGTGGGCGGTGCCGGTTGCGACGCTCGAAAGCATGGTGC